GTGAGTTTTTGATTATTTCACTTTATTGATTGGTATGTAAATAAATAAAATGTTAAGTCAGCCAAATTCATTAAGTTGTCTATTTGTCATCTATTTTCTAGAAAGTTTTAAATTTGTATATATTTGTATATATGTACTTTTAACAAGCTAAATTAATTATAAGTTTAACATAACAGCAGAAACTTTATTTAGTACAAGAGTTAAAGAAGAATTTAAAATGTTTGTTTTATTTAGTACAATAGTTATTTAAGAATTAAAAATGTTTGTTTAAGTATGATTTTTTAAGTAATCATTATTCTGAACTAAAAGAAACCTGAGTTCATTTTCAATAAAAATTATACATAAATGTTGGTATTGTTTGAGTTATTATTTTTAAAACGTGGTGAAAATGATTTTATTACCGACATATAAAAAATTTCATAAACTTGTCAATGCTAAATGGCATTGTGAAGTTACTTTCTGAAATATATATATATAAACATAAATATGCATACATTTTTTTCTTAAAATTTTTTTTTTTAGTCAATTTGCTCTATTACTACTGGCGGAGAAATGTTACAAAAAGTATTTTAAAAATAATTTTAACCGTAACAGGTTCAAAAACCTTCTGCACAAACTCATTTTTTTAAAATGATAAAATTTGTCAAAAAGTTAAGTTATAAAATAAAGTTGCGACATTTAAAAAAGTCTTGTTTTTAAAAGGAATGACTTTTATAAACTAAAGTATTTATTAAAAAAATTAAAGTAGCATATTTACATAGGGATGAAAATACCTTGCAAACAGTGCTGTGGCTATAGGGTCTGAGCCCCCTCCCTCCAGCTTGTCATTAGGGCGTTAAAATCTAAAAAACTTCCCATTACTAGGTGTATTACTAAAAAAATAATTATTAAATTTGGAAAAGGACCCCTAAATTTGAAAAAAAACGCCCCCAAATTTGCAGACCCTGCAAATTGTCTACTGTGGCTAGCCACCATGCTTACAAACTACGCATAAAAATTTATGTAACTTGGGGAAAAATAATGTTTCTTGAACTCTAAATTTTTAGTTATAAGTCTTGGAAAATTGTATCATGGAAGTAAATATAGTTCAAACAATAAATTATTTTTTAAATTAACACATAGGCAGATTAAAATTTATTACAGTGTTTATTACAGAAATTTAAGTTGATGGCGCTTCTTTGAAGAAATAGTATAATTTTTGCAAGAGACCTTTTTCACACTTTTTTTTTTTTTTTTTATTTGCATTCACTCCTAACAAGGCTGCAAGCAACCACTATTAAGTTGGGAGTTACTAGGAAAAAAAAGAACAGAGTTATAGAGCAAGGAAACGGTTGACAGAAGACTTAAAAAGTTGAAGGTTGTATGAGTCAGGAAAATATGAAGATGGGAGAGAGTTCCAAAGGATTGAAGTGCGGGGAAAAAAACTAGATGAATAAAAGTTTTTAGAGCATGCAGGGACAGATACAGTAAACGAGTGCGACTTAGCTGAATGACGAGTAAAACGAGAACGAATTTTAGTTGATGGAACTAGAGATGATAACTCCTTTGAGCAGTGACCATGATAGTATTTGTAGAAAAGAGAAAGAGATGCAACTTTACGATGATGGGAAAGAGGTTCAAGCTTAGCAGATAGTCCAGGTCAAACAACATTTACAATTCGTTTTTGGACCTTGTCAAGAAGAGAAAGTGAATCGTTAGAAGAACCAGCCCAAATATGACAACAGTATTCCATACACGGACGAATAAGAGATTTGTAGAGGTAGAGAATGGAATCAGAAGTAAGGAAATGGCGAGCACGATAAAGAGAAGCAACCTTAGCAGAAGCTAATTTAGCAATTGATTGTATATATGGTTTCCATGAAAGGTCAGTAGTAAGCGATAATCAGTAAGAGGATTGCCATTCTTTATTATAGGAATGTTGACCATATTACGGTAGTTGTTTGCAGTAAACAACTGGGATTTGTTAGAGTTGAAATTCACAAGCCACTGTGAACCCCAATCTATTACTGAAGTGAGATTGGATTCAAGATCAGCTGCTTGTTCTAGGCAATTGAAAAGAGAAGACTTTTTGTCAAGACAGGAATATAAAGTTGAGTCATCAGCAAAATGAGCTACTTTAGATGAAAGGTTGTCAGGAAGATCGTTTATGTAGATAAGAAACAAAACAGGGTCCAGGATGGAACCTTGGGGAACCCCAGAAGTTACTGGAAATAAAGAAGAGTGTTGGCCTTCAAGGATGACTTTAATAAACCGATTAGAAAGAAATGATTTGATAATCTCAAAAACTTGCCCAGAAACACCATATGAAGCAAGCTTATGGAAAAGACCAGCATGCCAAACTTTGTCGAAAGCTTTAGATATGTCTAGAGCAATAGCCCTAGCCTCACCGCCTCCATCTAATGCACGATAAAATCTTTCAGTTACAGCAGTTAGCAAGTCAGCCATAGAGCGAGAGGATCGAAAACCGCATTGATTGTCTGACAGTAGTTTATTTGACTCAAGATGAGATGTGAGGGGTTTGTTGATCAAAGACTCAAAGACCTTGCTAATAACAGAAAGAAGACTGATCGGACGATAATTGGAGGGGTCAGAATTTTCTCTAGAGTTTTTGAATATTGGAACCACAGATGCCATTTTCCAACAAGCAGGAAAACAAGACTCAGTCAAACACTTGTTAAATAGTTTAGAGAGAATTGAAGAAAGTTCTGGAGAACAATTCTGCAAGACTGTGACAGGAATGTTGTCTGGACCACAAGCTGTAGACGAGTTTAATTGAGATATGACTTTAGTAACAGAAGTCGGAGTGATTTGAATGTCTAACAATGGGTCAACCTATTTGACTGGAATGGAACGAAGAAAATGTCCATAAGATTCAAGAGTGGAATTAAAAGAAAAGTTTTTTGTAAACAGTTCTGCCTTATCCTTGGGAGAGGTAATAAGATCAGTCCCATGAATGAGAGATGGAATGTTAGATCTGCCCTTGTTAATAATGCTGTTGAAGATTTTCCAAAAGTCTTTAGAGCCTAACTTCTGCGATTAGATGCGAAATTTAGTGAACTGAGAATAATGGAGTTTAGCATCAGAAAGCACCTTTTTACATCAATTTCTTGCAATAATAAATAGCCATTTGTTCTCAAGAAAGTTGTTCTTTCGAAAAAGATGAAAAAAATGATTACAATTGGATATAGCAGGAGAAAACCATGAAGTAGAATGAGCCTTGACTTGAAACCAACGAGAAGAATAAATGCTTCCATTCCAGCCTGAATCCAGGAGATTACGTAGGAGGCGCATTTGTCAGCTGAGAGAGAAAAAACATCAGCCCAAGGACCATCACGAAGAAAATCACGAAAGGAATTCCTGTCAGCTTTAGGGTAGTAGTAGGTGGTGCGATGATAAGGTGAGCCCAAAAAAGAAGTACGAGAAGAGAGATTTATAGAGATCATTGCATGGTCAGAACCACCTAAGGGAGAAAAGGGAGAAACTGATTATAAGTTAGGGTCAGAGACAAGACATAAGTCAAAGAGTGAAGGTAAATGATTAGGATTGTCAGGAAAACGAGTCACAAAGTTAACTATCTGAGTAAGAGATTGAGAAACGCAGAAGTTTAAGGCTCTAGTGCCAGCAGGATCAGTGGTGTTAGAGCCAAGCCGTTCAGTGTGATGGGCATTAAAATCACCAACAACAACAATATTGGCAGAGGGGTAAAGAGAGAGGGCATGGTCAATTTGATCAGAGATAACATCTAAAAGAGTGCAATCATGGGAAAAAGGAGAATGATAAAGAACAAAGAGAAAGGTGATAGAGTGAAGAGGTGCTAGGAGAAAGTACATAAAAGAATGGTCAAAGGATTCGAACCTGATTTCATGACAAATAGGGGAATTAATGCGTATGTATACCCCTAAACCTAGCATGTGACTATTGGAGTCTTTACGAATCAAAGGATAGTACCCATCAACACTGACATCTGAAGAAGGAATTGCAGAATTTAAATTTGTTTTACTGAGTGCAAGCAAGTCTGGTGAATTTTCCAGGAGGTAAGACTCAACTGATGGAAAGTTGCTTAGTAGACCGCAAATATTTGTAAAAGATAAATTAAAATATTTAGGTGGTGGGGATGGTTTTTTAGGTTTTAAATTTTTGGTTACTTTAGTCATGATTTGGGTTTAAGGAGAACTTGACTCATTCATAGATAGAGCACAGCCTCCTAATCAATAAGCTATGCAGTTGTCTCAGTTCTGTTAATTAACCCTAAGCTGTGACATAGGGCTCCTTATGTGGCCTTGACAATGCACACCAAAAGCATTAACAGGGACACCATCCATGCGCAACATGGCACTGTTAATACTCTGATATTTTGCAGCTGTTGATGGAATCAGCCTCTCTGAGAGCTACCACAGAGTTCGGGAAACCTTACTACCAGCCGGCCTCAAAACCATTAAACTGAGTTTTAGGGCTGTACCCTCATATGGAGATAACAGGAAAAGTTGCATAGCCATTATCAAGGAGGCATAAGCAAAATTCTATGAGTAGAGTCAAGGAGATCCAGCATTCATCATCCTAGGCAGGAAACAATGTAACACATGTTACATCTACGCCAGCGTAATAGATGAAGAAGGGGTTCGAGGCTGGTTAGCAGAATTTTTCTTCTTACCCCTAAAGTCTTTGCCTAGGAGGCCTTCTACAAGACAGTAGCTGGATGCATTTAACATTTGCCCAAGATGAGTATTTTTATTGAGACACCATCTCTAGCCTTTACTCAACCAAGAGCCCCAAGGCAGGGGATGTTTAGCTGGATGCAGTTAACATCTGCCCAAGATGAGTATTTTTATTGAGACACCATCTCTAGCCTTTACTCAACCAAGAGCCCCAAGGCAGGGGATGTTTAGCTGGATGCAGTTAACATCTGCCCAAGATGAGTGTTTTTATTGAGACACCATCTCTAGCATTTACTCAACCAAGCGCCCCAAGGCAGGGGAATTTTTAGTTGGAGTTTATTTCTC